GTAAAACTAATAGTTTTCGTTAAAAACGCTAAATAAGATTTTTTTTAATTTTCTACTGTCCACAAAATATATACAACTCTGGACATAAATAAATAAAACTTAATCCAAAACAAGAAGGGAAGCTACCTTCGGCCAGCCGAAGCTTATATACCCTTGTAGATTAAAGAATGCTTACTCGGTGCAGTTCCAGGGATTCCAGATTCAGCGTTTCTATTTATTTAAATTTTGTTTTTAAGTAGTCACGAATCAAAACGCCTACTTCCTACAAAGTTACAATGAATTTTCTTATATTTGTTTGAATATTCCTATGGGAGCCTTAAGATATAGTGATCCGGCTCGCTCCGACATATGTACTACCTGCAATAGAAAGAAGACTTTCGGGAAAGTTTCATCGCGATAGCTTTAAAACTGAGAGACTAGTTCGCATAGAAACGGACAGACGGACAGACGGACAGACGGACATGGCTAGATGGACTCGGCTATTGGTGCTGATCAAGAATATATATACTTTATGTGGTCGGAAACGTCTCCTTCACTGCGTTGCAAACATCTGACTGAAATTATAATACCCTCTACAAGGGTATAAAAACTAGAAATGGTTACCCAAATGATTGAAAATCCCAGTAGGCCTTTCAAAATATTTCTTAAATCACAGTTCGTCTGCTAAAAATAGATTCCATTCCACTTTATAAAATAAACCAATTCTTAAATTTAATTATTCCCGCCTCTGAGAACTGTAAATAAGTTGTTTGCCGCGGCGACGGACGCATCTAGTGAGAACGCCGTAGTGGGAACCTCGCCTCCGCGATAGTATCGCTGGATTAATAGCTGCACAGCGCGGTCACACCGCGCGTAAAAACGAGGCTTCATGCGCTAAAAACTGCCGAACTCTCGTTCACTTTGTTCGAAACCGTCGCCGCTTAGACTTCGATTTCTCATTCAGCTTATTCGAGAGTAAGTTTTACCAGTGAGACTATAATTAAGTGAATTCTGCAACGGGACTGCAGCCAGCGAACAGTTGATAAACAAATATGCAGTTAGGACGCCAAATCTGTGCATATTTCGTGGTGTTTCTGTGTCTGTGGTGTGCTAATTCTGGAGATAACCTCTAACGGCGATTTTCTAAAGTGAAAGGTGGCCATAGCGAAAAGCAAACACGTGGCAGTCCGCATAGGCCAAAAATTCAAATTCTCGTGGCTGCTTTTACGGCCCCACGTTTGCTTAGTCATGTTCCGGCTTTCCCGGCCGCATTTTCGCCCCGCAATATGGTGCAATAAGTGTGCAATTAATTGCCACGCCCACGCCGCGCACAGAGGTCATCCACCAGATGTGCTAATTAACACGTGAAAAAACGTGGTCTTTGTCTTTCCTTGTAGATTTTCATTTTTCTTTCTCTGCGGCATAGAATTTCAAAATGGCGGCTCACGTTTTTCTGCCCTATGAGTCAGTATGCAAAAAGAAAAACCTTTCCTAGCAACACGCGAAAAATGAGCTTTTTCGGGCCCTCGGCCCATTAACATATCTGGTGAAATGGCATTTCTAAGTGATTCGCTAATTTATTTGAGCCAAAATGGCTGCCGTTGCATTTAAATTCTTGATTAAATCTTTTTTTTTCTCCCCCTTTTCCATTTCTTTCCAATTGTGCCACCGCGGCGAGATCGCTTGCATTTGTATAAGTCACACACACACACTCGTGTGCAGCCGCCATTTTGCTCGCCTCGCCTCTCTTTTCCTCTCTTTCTTTTTCCTCCGGCCGGCAACAGCGTCACGCACACACACAGCGACACAGGCACACACACGCGCAAGCAGATAAGCACATGTGTATTTGCGAATTAAATTTGCTGGAATTTTCCTTTGGACTCTTCGATTTAACATGATGATGATATTTCAGTTCTGCTACTGAAGAAATTTGACGACACACAAATACCAAAATCACTGATAAAATCGAGTTTCCATTAGGAATATTTTTTTTGCACGCTTCTCTTCCCTTTTTTTGTATCTGCCGCCCCTCTCTTTTACCCACACCCATACATGCGGGCACTCGACCTAACCTCAAAAAACACGTTTTGTACGGCAGTCGGAGTTTGAGGTTAGGTTGAGTTTTTGGGCATGCAAACAAAAGTCGAAAGTACGCAAGGCGAATGTACCCACTAATTTAGTAGTTAAAAAAGAGATTGTAAAACCCACCGAATGCTAACAAATTGTTTTACCCTTTGTTTCTTCCAACCTCTCTTGCTCGCCAACCCACCGAACCCCGCAACCTCCCAACATTCCAACACTCGAACCAACCAACACACACAACAGCCATCGTGTAATCATCCAACATGGGCAAGGAAAAGATTCACATCAACATTGTCGTGATCGGACACGTCGACTCCGGCAAGTCGACCACCACCGGCCACTTGATCTACAAGTGCGGAGGTATCGACAAGCGTACGATCGAGAAGTTCGAGAAGGAGGCCCAGGAGATGGGCAAGGGCTCCTTCAAGTACGCCTGGGTTTTGGATAAGTTGAAGGCCGAGCGCGAGCGTGGTATCACCATCGATATCGCCCTGTGGAAGTTCGAGACCGCCAAGTACTACGTGACCATCATTGATGCCCCCGGACACAGGGATTTCATCAAGAACATGATCACCGGTACCTCGCAGGCCGATTGCGCCGTGCTGATTGTGGCCGCCGGAACCGGAGAGTTCGAGGCCGGTATCTCGAAGAACGGCCAGACCCGCGAGCACGCCCTGCTCGCCTTCACCCTGGGTGTGAAGCAGCTGATTGTTGGTGTCAACAAGATGGACTCGTCCGAGCCACCATACAGCGAGGCCCGTTATGAGGAAATCAAGAAGGAGGTCTCCTCGTACATCAAGAAGATCGGCTACAACCCGGCCGCCGTTGCTTTCGTGCCCATCTCCGGATGGCACGGCGACAACATGTTGGAACCCTCCACCAACATGAACTGGTTCAAGGGATGGAAGGTGGAGCGCAAGGAGGGCAACGCCGACGGCAAGACCCTGATCGATGCCCTCGACGCCATCCTGCCCCCAGCCCGTCCCACCGACAAGGCCCTGCGTCTGCCCCTGCAGGATGTGTACAAAATTGGCGGTATTGGAACAGTACCCGTGGGCCGTGTGGAGACCGGTGTGCTGAAGCCCGGTACCGTTGTGGTCTTCGCCCCGGCCAACATCACCACTGAGGTCAAGTCCGTGGAGATGCACCACGAGGCCCTCGTGGAGGCCGTTCCCGGCGACAACGTTGGCTTCAACGTCAAGAACGTGTCCGTGAAGGAGCTGCGTCGTGGCTACGTTGCCGGTGACTCCAAGTCGAACCCCCCCAAGGGCGCCGCCGACTTCACCGCCCAGGTCATCGTGCTGAACCACCCCGGCCAGATCGCCAACGGCTACACCCCCGTGCTGGATTGCCACACCGCTCACATCGCTTGCAAGTTCGCTGAGATCAAGGAGAAGGTCGACCGTCGTTCCGGCAAGACCACCGAGGAGAACCCCAAGTTCATCAAGTCTGGCGATGCTGCCATCGTCAACCTGGTGCCCTCCAAGCCCCTGTGCGTGGAGTCCTTCCAGGAGTTCCCCCCTCTGGGTCGTTTCGCTGTGCGTGACATGAGGCAGACCGTCGCTGTCGGTGTCATCAAGGCTGTCAACTTCAAGGATGCCTCCGGTGGCAAGGTCACCAAGGCCGCCGAGAAGGCCACCAAGGGCAAGAAGTAGCTGGTTTGCACCCACTCAACAACAACAAGCAGCAGCAAGAAAGTAACCAACATCAGAATGCAGCCAACAACACCACTACTCAACAATAACAGCAACAGCAGCAGCGAGCACAATAGTAGTCCAACACCAACAACACCTGTCCTGCGCAAAATGACCGATAAGATGATGTTCCAGCAGAAGCAAAAGTTTAATTTCTTCCATCGAAAGGAGTTTCGACGGATACGAATGCTAAATGCAGTCGACGCCGCCTGAAATGGGAAACGGTGGATCCCAAGGACGAGTGCACACTGGGAAAACAAACACATGCATTTATGCATCCACTCCTCCTCCATCTCCCCGTCGATCTTTAGTTTACTACATATGATATGATAAGGAGTTGACTTCGTTATGATATCATATATAGATATTCTCTGTAGCATTTATATCGTTTAAATTAACCTTTTTAATTTGATATGTATCATTTATCTTACCCTATTTTTGCACACACACTACTTTGTACACATGAAAAGAACCAGAATAGAAGCGATAACTTTATTTACAAAAAATAAAAACCCTATTTTTGTATTTATTTTGTTTTAACCACCACCCAGCCACTAAAACACCATCTTTTTGGTTGTTGCCTTTTGATTTTCAGCGCTATGGTCCAAGTTCACCTTATCGTCGATGCCACGAAGTACAAACGAAAGCTAGTTGAAGAGTACAACAATTAAATCAGACAACAAATACCTCAATCGTTTAAATAAAGCGAGCATTTGCAACTGAAGGAATTTGAAAATGTTTTATTTGGAGCGCTAGATGTGGGATAAGTAGGGAAATTGAAAATGAAATATACATCAGTTCAAAACTGAAGGAAGATTACTTTATTTAGCAGTTTGAAAATATTTACAAAAAATCGAGAATTATGTTTTAGTTCTTAATCATATTGCAGCAGTGGTACATACAAATTTAGTTGTTCTGTAGCGAATTAATATACTTAATAATATTTGGAAAATTGTATTCAGTTTAAAATCATTTTATTATTGCGTCTTAGATAAAATTTGTTTTGTTTTTCCTCTATAAACGCTTAAAAAATATCAACTAAAACAGTAAATCAAGAAAAAAAGATTTAAAAATCGTACAATTATTAAAATCAGTCAAAACGGACTAGTAACTATGTATTAAATATAACTATATTTACATATTTGTATTTGGAAAGTTTAGCGCAAAAAAAGTGAAACAGATGTGGAAAATGGTACTCTCTAACTAATGTATGAATTTCGTAAAGTGGATAGAACACGCCGATCTCTATTTGTCCAGCACCAGCGGTGGATCCACGTAGTCGTGCTGCCGCCTCTGCGGTTCGGGCTCCTCATCGCGCTCCCTTGGATCCTCGTACCGAATGCCGGCGGCCGTGATAATGGCGCTCTTCATCAGGTATTTGCCGAACTTCTGGATCTGCATGTTGGTGATGCTGTCCAGCACCCAGAAGGGATCGAGGTAAACCCGCTCGTCCTCGGCCCGCCGCTTATCCCCGATGATGTACTTGGCCTTGAAGCGGTTCTCGGTCAGGGTGGCGCCGCCCAGCAGGAGCAGCTCCTTCATGTTGTTGAACTGCACCGGTCGGCAGAGGGACGACACATAGAAGGGCTCCATGAAGCGAAACAATTCGCACTGGTAGTGGACGCCAAAGGCCTGCCTTTCAGTGCGGCAAATCTGGGGAAACGGAATTGGGTGATTATGGTGACAATAGGAGGATCATACTACTCACCTCGATGGCCCGCGAAAACCTGGTCAGTTCGTAGGGCTCCTCACTGATCCACTTCCCCGCACGAATGGACGCCAACACCCACTGATAGCTGACAATCCAGACTCCGCGCATCAATCCACGCAAGAGATTTAGCGTTCGACGCGGCTCCAGGCTAACCAGGTGGGTGGTGCGCTGGGTCACCGTAGGATCCAGTCGCATGCCGCGCAACTTGCGCAGGGCCTGGGATTGAAGGCGGTTTTCGATTAGGATTTATGACCGCCACGGATATTTATTATTCAACTGTGCGGGAGGCTTTACAAATGGGGGACTGCTCTACCAATCTACCGAGTGTTGTTTATGCCTAATCAATAATTAATATGGGCCATTAACGAATATGCTAATTTACAAACTAGTTCGGTTTACTAACTAATCCATTACTGGAGCTGGAGAACAGGAGTTCTCTACTCGGACTACAAAGGTTACAATAGGGGGTCACTGGTCACTCCGTCGTGCTACCAACCTTGTGGATGGCCTGGATCTGCTCCTGGTGCATGTTTGTGTGCACCAGGGTGCGAATGCGTGAACGTTGCTTGCCCTTTGACCTGTCCTCCGCTTCTTCTATGGTCGAAAGGGAATCCTCTAGTTCTGGAACGGCATTTTCCTTGGGTTCCTCTTCCGGAGTGGTAGTGGTTTTGGCCTTGGCCACTGGAGCCGCGACAGACGCCTCCGAAGAGGAAGATTTCGCAGGAGTGGCCAGCGATCGTCGACGCTTCTGCACGGAGCTCGAGGAGCCCGTCATGCTCAGGCGACTCTTCCTGCTGCTTTTGGGTGGGGAAATGACCACCTCGTCATTTGGATTGAAAAGGCGCCGCCTTTTGGGCTCCTGCGATGGGGGGAGTGCCTCCGCCAGCGGTTGTTCCTGCTCCGTAACTGCGCGACACTCGCCCAACTCGGCCTCATTGGCCAAGGCTAGAGATCTGCGATGCGACTGGTTAATCCGTTCGATGCTCTCGTTAATCACGTCCATGTCCATGTTGAAGATGGTGCGCCTGCGGTTGCCTGTGGACTGGCCGCTTGGCAGTCGCGTGGAGCTAAAAAGCGGAGTTAGTGGCTCCTCCATAATGGAGTTGGATGTCTGAGTCACGTTGTTTTGCGACTGTCTAGATGTTGCCACGCTGTGGCGCCGAGAAGCACTAATGTCCATACATTCGGAGGCATAGAGTGTGCCACGCCTGTCCGCTTTGTAGGAAGCTTCTGCCGCCACGGCGGTCATTTCTATGGACTGCTCAACGCAATCAGTTTGGTTGATTGGCTTGCTGTGCATCATAACTATTGAATTCCTGTTCTCTTCGTTGGGAGCCAGCTCCTCGGTTATGGTTTCAATAGTTTGCTTTGGGACTGTTTCCTCTGGCTGCTTGGGAGCCGCTAGCAATGAGCTCCTGCGTCGAGTCATTCTGGGCTCCAAAGCTGCGGCTGGAGCAGCTTCCGGTATTGATGTGGCAGCCAGTGAGCTCCTGCGGCGTGTCATTCGGGGTTCCATTGCCGCGGGACTGCTGATCTCTGCCACGCAGCTGCGACGGCGACTAGTGCGCGCAGGAGGCGTCATCACCGGTGGTGGTTCCACTGTGCTTCGACGTGGCCTTGCAGAGATCGATGATTTGGGTTGAGGAGTAATGCTAGCCGGCTGCTCTCCGAATTGCAAACTCTTTTGGGCCTGCACTTTCTCGGCCGCAGCATCGCCGCTGCCATTGGTTCCCTTCGGCTGGGAAGCAGCCACTGCGGGCAAAGGAGTGTAGCAGCCACTGCTTATCCTGGTTTATTAGAAAGATTAGATTTAGTTGGAAATATATTTTATAGAGGTAGAAGATTAAGGAACCCACCTGTTGAGTAGTTTAGTGGCTGGCGACTCGGTTACCTCATCGTCCGACGCTTTGTTGTGGTTGAGGGCCCTGAAGAAGCGGCTGATGTCATTCTGGAAGGAGAAAATTAAAGAATTTAAAACCAATTTCAGTAATGTAAAACATTAAACATGTCTTTAAAATTATTTTTTTTGGTTTTTGGCATAGTTATACATTTTTAATAAAAATTTGTAATACGTTATTATATTAACTAAAAAATGGTTAGTTAAAAAAATAAATATGTTTCTTGTTTAACTGTATAAAATGAGTATATGAATATTAAAAGAAATAGGATGGTAAGCACCCTTGATGAATACAACAAAATAATATGAAATTACAAATAAAGATTGACAAAATAAGAAGGAATAAGAATTAAAATGATTAGATTTTTTCTTGCTATATAAAGAAGTGATATTAATATTAATTATATTTTTGGTTCTTAAAATGCCTATAAATTGTGTCCTAACCAAACACAAAATGCTTATTGAGATGAAAAACTTTTTATCACTATAAAATGTCTTCCAGAAAATAAAATAAAATAAATTATAAAAGGGTTCTTCACATACCTTTGGTGTGGTGGTGGTTGGAGTTCCGGGCTGGGCTCGCTTATTGGCCGATCCTGGCTCTTGGTCCCTGGAGGATGTGGGCGTTCCCTGGCGTTTCCGTGGTCGCTGATTCAACTCCGAATCCGGCTGCATAAACTTAACGCGCTGCAAATTCAAACAGTCCAAACTTGATAAATAAGTTTTGGCTTAGGAGGTCTAAATGTGGTGAGCAGCTCATGCCCTTTGGTGTTATTTAGCTGATGCTGCGGATGCTGCCCACTTTTTGCCCGACTCTGTCAGTCATGTTGACTGGAAAACACTGTTTTATTTGTTTATAACTACGTGATAGCTGGCCCGTTGTTTAAATAAAAAAAGTTCTTATCTGGTTAGTAGAACAATATGGCTGACTGTTGGGATGGCTTTTATCTAAATCGTAATCGATAGTAATAGCTTATAAATCTCACATAATGATATTTAATTAGTTTTAAACGTTAATTAGGCTCTTTAGTAGCTAATTAATAATAACGGTTTACATTTGAAAGGCTTGGCTTTAAAGTGCCATCCCTAGCACTCGCCACCTATCGATAGACGCCAGCGATAACACTATCGATGGCCGCTGCCCTCGGCCAGCAGCCCTATAAAAATTGCTTTTTGTGGGGCTGTCAGCTCAGTCAGCGGCTCATTCATCACTTTCCGACGCGCTCCAGTAGAACTAGTAGCCTAGATTTTATCAAAACCAACAGTATTACCCTCGCCCCGAACTTCACCCGTCGGCAAGAGAACTCTTTGGCATTCCACAAACAACAAAAGACGATAAGCAACAAGTGTTCCGGAGGCGGAGATTCGATTCCCTTGAAACAGACACAACTCAAAACTCCATTGAAAGCTATTCCCAGTTGTTTTGTTTACCCTGCAATCACAGCCCAAGAACGTGGCACATTTCCAACTGCGCGAGCAAACAATTAAGAAAAACTTGTTCTCCCCGCACACGCGAATAAATCTTGGGAACCGAATTCCATACCAGCCGGTGACGAGCACGGAGGAGCAAGAGGAGGAGCACTATGATTCCCGGCTATGGACCCGTGACGCAGGCCCTGCTGGGCACCCTGCTCACCTGGGGACTCACGGCCGCCGGCGCCGCTTTGGTGATCTTCGTGCGGGGCAACCAGCGGAGGTCCCTGGACGCCGCCCTGGGCTTCGCTGCCGGCGTGATGATAGCCGCCTCCTTCTGGTCGCTCCTCAAGCCGGCCATTGAAATGGCCGAGAGTTCCCACCTGTACGGAGTGTATGCCTTTCTGCCCGTCGCCGGGGGCTTCCTGCTGGGCTCCATCTTCGTCTACGGCTGCGACAAACTGATGTCGTACCTGGGCCTGAACAGCACCAACATGATGATCCAGATGACCCAGTCCAAGGACAAGGCGGACATAGCCATCGAGGATGCAAAGCGCAAGTCCAAGAGCCTGGACAGCTTCTCGGACTGCCTGAGCGTGCAGCACAGCGGGGAGTCGAGGCGGCGCAAGAAGCAAGGCAGCATCAACGAGATGGAGCAGTGCACCTACACGACGCCCGAGGAGCAGCAGCGCGCCGAGGAGGCTCTGTCGCAGTGGAAGAGGATTATGCTGCTGGTGGTGGCCATCACGGTGCACAATATTCCCGAGGGACTGGCCGTGGGCGTGAGCTTCGGCGCCATTGGCTCCACGAACTCGTCGACCTTCGAGAGTGCCCGCAATCTGGCCATTGGCATTGGCATTCAGAACTTTCCCGAGGGATTGGCCGTCAGCCTGCCGCTGCATGCCGCCGGTTTCAGCGTGAAGCGGGCTCTGTGGTATGGGCAACTGTCCGGCATGGTGGAGCCCATCTTTGGCGTGCTGGGCGCCGTGGCGGTGACCTTTGCCAACCTGATCCTGCCCTACGCCCTCTCCTTTGCGGCCGGAGCCATGATCTACATTGTATCGGATGATATTCTGCCCGAGGCCCATGCCAGCGGCAATGGAACGATCGCCACGTGGGGCACAGTCTCTGGATTCCTGATAATGATGTGCCTGGAGGTGGCCCTGTCGTGAGCAGCCACTGAAGATCTGCCTAGTGCAAGACTCAAAGATTCCATTGTACTTAACGCGACCTTGCTGCTGGCTTGTAAATAGAAGCGGGCTTTGTACAAATCTCAGAAGCAGCCCCAAACGAGAATCTAATAATCTAACGTAGAGTGTAAGTTTTGTAGAAGAGAAGAAACCTGACAACTGGCGATGCCGCCGTGTATCTGTACTGCATTCCCAGCGAGTTATGTAAATGAACCCCGTTCGCGGAAAGATTGTAAACAAACGTGCATGTGAACTAGGCTTTAAGTTGTCACCGGCGTCCAGTGGCTTGTGTCTTTTTAAACTGTCTAATGTTTAAGCAATAAAACGAAGCGCATTCAAATCAGCATCTCTCGACTATTTTCCCCCGGACAGAAACAACTTCCTGGCCCTACGATAGCTGATAAGAGCGAGTAAATTCAATTAGATAACCCGGAGAGCCGACAACACAACTGGTTGACTTGCTGTCAGCCGGTGATAAGTGATAAGAATGTGTCCAGCGCAAAGAGTTCCCAATATTGCGCGTATTCCGTGTTTGAGATACGTGCAATTTCAGACGGCCCGCGGCCCTGCGACTCTGCTCGCCATTTGCTGGATTAACTAATCACTTCAGATATGTACGA